ATGACCACACATGAATAACGAGTTAAGGGTTGAAAGCAGTTCTCGGGAAACCAGTTGATAGTTCATAGGAATGAATGAATGCCGTTGATACAGCAAATTTCCGCGTTGCAACGGCCTTCACAAAATATTACACACCGTCGGCTGGGTGATTAACATGTTTTCGCAATGAGAATCTCCCGATGAAGATCAATCACAGGACTAGGGTAAAAAGCCTTATCCGGGACGTCCTTAGGCTGCACGAGGCTCAGCTGTTCACCTTCACCCAGGCTATCAATTTTAGAAGTGTATGGTGTGTAATAGAAGTGTTAACAGTTGAATATAGGTTACCATTCTAGAAAGTTTTGAAACATATTGTTGGCTCAGTGAAAGAGCGGAAGATATCCTGAAGTGTCTTAGCGTGGTATGGAATTGACAGTATGAAAGTACCAGCGGTCATATCCTGAAGTGTCGTAGCGTGGTATGGAATTGACAGTATGAAAGTACCAGCGGTCTTGCCTGTCATATCAACTCATGTGAAACCTCGAAGATATTTGCGTGCAATCGCAGAGCCCGTCAGCTAGTTGCGTCGGGAGAATCTGACACACTGGACGCTGCATCAGTTTAGGACAATTTACACTTCATATAGTGCAATTGGTGAGGGCTTGGCTGGTATTACGTAGTGATCTTTTCGTTGAGTAATTAGGAAGAGGTGGCCGTCATCCCTTTTTGTGGTGGACAAAGGCGTGTTTACAGTTGTTACGGTAATTTCAGACTTCCCAGATGTTGAAATGACGTGCGCAGTCACGCCCTCTCCACCTCGTGTTAAGAAGGATACACAATTGCGGTGTCCACAGTAATGTGTACCATTCGACGCTCCAACCCACCCGCGCCTACCATCTGGGATGCTAGAACTCCTTTAGCGTTATATATACGTATTGGAATTGGCAATGTGCTGTTGAATAAGGGGAGGGGGATTTTTTTTATTAAGCATGTGAAACTTTTATTGTTTTAATATCATTTGTATCTTTTAACCCAACAGTCCCAATCCGCGATTATTTGATGGATGCTCGCTAGTTGACGTGTCCCTATCCCAGACCGTTTCGGAAGGATGGTGTACCAATGAGAAAAGCACATTTGTCACAGAGCTCCTATCTTCGAAGCGTTTATTGTTCAGGCTGTGTTCCACAGTTCAAGTTGTAGATAACTATCGGATCGCGCACTTGAATAACAGTTACCAAACAGTAACAGCCTGTAATAGTGAAAAGCCTCCAGCCTTGCGGTTCAGTGCCTATAGCGGCTAAGCGGCTCATCACGTCAAACGTGTGAGTTTCGAAGTCAATGCCTCAAATTGAGCTGACCAGGAAAGGTCATCAGGTCAGCCCGGCCATTTCCAATGAGCTGCACACCGTTGTACGCGTCTTGGGACGGTGAACTCAGAACTGTCTTCAAAATTTGCAGAACGATTCTCTGAACGGAGTTATGGAGGGTTTTATCCCCGCATGGTCGTTTCACATGCTATCGCGAGGAAACGTGGAAGCGTCTTTACATTTATGTATGGAGTCATGCTGAAACGTGGTAGTAGAGCGCAACGGGTAGGGAGCGGGTTTCTTAGGCGAGACGTCGTAGGATCGGTTCCGGGGCAGGTCCTTTTTTGCATTTGTCCAAGAACATAGCCGACAAAGCTTCTAACATCTCTGCTCGCCTGCACTACCCTACAAGGGAACCTGCGAATCAGTTTTTTTTCGAAAGTGTAGACCCATTGCGGTCTAAAAGAGTGCTTTGCAATGAAATACCATCATATTCATGTTCAGCGGGTTAAATTACCCCTGGGGACAAGTTTCTAGCCGAATCTGATATTTCGACCTCACTTGGAAAATGTGGGCTATTCCATGGGTAATTAGCAGCAGATTGGAGCTCACCTACCATCGATGACTGGTCTCGGAATGGGATTTCCTCCCGATAGTCAAGAAAATGATGCAGACGGCACAAATAAGTAAGCCAGGTACTGTTGTTTGCGAAAAGACATGACTGAAGAGTT